CTTTTCAAAACATTTATATTTCAGACCAGAAAAGACCTGATACAGGACCTGTGAGTTGAGATGTCATAATGTTTATGTTGCTGAAACACCAAATGTTTGGTGCAATTGCCTGGCTTTTATTTTAATTGCCCAGAAGGGCACTTTGGAAACTTTTAGTAACACCACTAAGTGTAATTGCAGTGGGTTTTTCAAAGAACATTTCTTTACTGTGGCAGGAAGTGCACTTTGATTGTGAATGCTGTCGTAGCCAATCAGATGCATTTGACTGTAGATCTCTATACCTCCCCCTGTTATTTAAGAATCAAGGGTCTCAATGAAGGCAGTGTCAGCATGTTTCTATTATGGGCTTCACTGTTTCTTCTTCACCGAGGGCGTAAGTAACATTTTATCAGTTAAGCAACTGAATGAGGAGCAATTTTTGATGGCAATAAATTTTTTTTGTGTGTTCATTGTTGTTTTTATTAAATGATACAGATTGTTTGGTCCCAGTGGTCACGGTTCAACTTGGTGATCCTGTGACTTTGTCTTGTGCTTTTTTGGAGAAATTTCAAAGCACCGCATGGCTTCATTGGTACAAACAGAGTGCAGGAGATACTCTGAAACTCATTGTGTTGCAGCAGAAAAGCATAAAACCCAATTACAAACAAAATGCGTCTACCTCAAGAATAGCAGCAACAAATGATGATAAATTCAGCAATCTAACCATTCTGAAGACAGTTCTACAAGATGAAGGAATGTATCACTGTGCTCACATGGACTGGACTGAATCCGCTTGGACTGGGACTTATTTATCCGTAAAAGGTAAAGATTTAACATTTAACATTTTTTTCTGTTTGAATCTGCCTCTTTTTTCCCCCAAAACATGGCTCCACTTGGACTGGAGAATCAAGTTTAACTAGAAAGAAATACGTTAGACATTGATCCAGCTCTCTGATCAATACAATTTGTGACCTTCAGTCATAAATGATTGACTATTTTTAATATGCAATGAGATAAATTACTCATGCGACACTTGTTTTTAGATTTAAAATTAATCTCTTTTTTGGCATCTCTGCCAAAATAAGTACTCGTAATTCTTTGGGTATTTAAGAATTTTTCTCTATATATATATTCCACTGATGTCTCTGAAAATTGGCTGAGATATCAAGCAATTGTCTATCAATATAGTACACCTTCAAATAACGACCATATTCTATTTATTGTTTAAATGTAATTTAATACTAAGCCTTGGACGAACAAATCTTTTCTTTTTTACACTACAGATTGCTGCTTTTGAAAAGAACAGACATCCACAATAAAGCAATAATGATAACACTAGGAGTTTGTTGAAAAAATGATTTTTGCTTAATAGGATGAAAAACAGCAACTCTGATCAGCATTGCTGGACAAAGAAAGTTTGTGGTTAAATAAAATAGCAAGATTAAAAAATATTGGCCTTGTGTCACTGAAACCCACATCCAAACACAAGAAAATGCAGGCAAATATAACTGATAAACTACATGAGCCTCAGTAATTTGAATTTGGCTTGTTTCAAATTATTTATGAGTTACATTTTAAAAATATATCAAAAAAGAAAACAGTAATTTCTTCTTTGTTTCTTGCTTTTTTGTTGTTGTTTTTTTTTTTTTACAACGAACTAAGCTACGTTTATTTAGATCAGCAAAGTTGACATAATTATCAATAAAAAAAGCCTGAAAATATGTAAATAAACATCAATAAAACATTTTTCAGGTTAAACTGAAATAGATAACTTCTTACTTTTGACTTCAAGATTCAAATTATTTTTATCTTAAATAAAAATAGTACAACTTTAATATATAATTTCATGTCTTCATAGCAAACTCCAGGACGACATCAAGCTACGCTGTTCTGCAGAAGCCAGTTTCTGAACCTGCCCGTCCAACAGACTTAGAGACGCTGCAGTGTTCAATCATCTCTGAGTCTGAGGACGAAGCCTGTTCAGGAGAACTCAGTGTGTTCTGGTTCAGGACCGAATCAGAACAGGCCTATCCAGAAATTATCCACACAAATGACAAAGGACTTCGTCACTGTGAGAACACAGCGACATTGAACACTCAAAAGAAATGTAGTTACAGCTTTTCTAAGAACTTCAGCTCTTCTGACAAGGGAACATTTTACTGCGCTGTGGCAACATGTGGAGAGATATTATTTGGAAATGGAATTAAAACAGCAGGTAAGATTTTTGTACTTCTAATACTGATGCAAATATTACTTCTTTTAAGACAATGATATATTTTTTTCACCTTGTTTTGCAGATCAGTCAGCAAGTCCCAAAGTTAATATGCTGATGATCATAATAATCTGCTTAGGCATCTCTGTGACTTTAAATATCGGTTTTATCTGCCACCACACTCGAAGATCACGGTGTGGAAACTTTAAAGGTAAGTTGTATCTTTTGTCTTGCTGTATTTGAAACAACAAATAAAGACCTAAATAATCTACTTTGAAGTAAAACTGAACTTTCGAGCAAACCATTGAGAACTGTTTTTCAACAGCAAAACAGAATGAGAATCAACTGGATAATATTGTAAGTGACCTATATATAATTGTGTTTAAAAGTCTAATATATACCTGCATGTCACATGAAACTAAAATTTTATGTAATATTTTCTTTCTGCTCAGTCGGTAAATGGACAGGACCTGAACTACGCTGCATTACATTTTGATGAAAGGAAAACACCAAGAGGAAATATAAATCGACAAGTGAAAACTGAAGACAGTGTGTATTCACGGGTTAAACATGATGTAAATATGACATAGCACAGTGTTTATATGAACAGATGTAGATTCATATTAATCCTCTGAATAATTAAGGCCATCATATTTGTGGTTCTGTAATGTCTTAATATTTGAAACAAGTTCAAACTGCCCTCATGTGGAATGAAGTTTCTCATATTTTCTTATGTAATTATATATTTCTGCTCAAATTGCAATTTTTAAAAAGAATATACAAAATGTAAGATGTTATTATTGCAATGTAATTGGGACTTGCCAATAAACTATCTTTTTTGAACTTATTTTAAAGGCCAGTCTGCTCAAATATAAAGTTATTGCTCTTTTAACGATTCAGTTTTTCTTTATACCTCTTTAAGCAGTTAAAACCTCATTGACAACCAGCGAGCTTGATGGTTAATTTCAAATGGTTTTAAATGTGGATTTAGAAAATTGTTATTAAAAATATATTTTTTAAATTCTCCTACACACCCTATTTAGTGATATACTTTATGCTGTTCCTTATATCACAGCGTGTATGTGATATATGCTACGATATATGGAACAGCACATATCACAGACACAGACAGTGTTTATAGACACTGTGTCTGTAAACACAGACAGTTTATTCCTGTCTGTGTTTACAGGGATTAACACAGGCGTTACGTTTATTTGTATATTAAACCACAACTCAGCAACAATGCAGCTCAAAGTGCCTTACACCATAAAACCAAACATGAACAAATCTGAAATAAGGCAGAAAAACAGACCATTTTGAAATAAAAAACGAGTTCTCATAGTAACACTATCAACATGTGATTAAGTGTAAAAATATTCTTGTGTGCACGCTGTGGATGAAATCAACATTAGCATACACCAGGGATGCTTAAGTTCAGTCCTCAGGAGCTACTGTACTGCAACAGACCAAACTCAAATGGTTGAATTCCCTCACCAGCAGTCATTCAGCATTTAACAGGCCTGGTAACGAGCCATTCATTGGATTCAGATGTGATAGAGCAGGGACGCATCTGAAAGGACGATAGCTCTCAAGGTCTGGACTTGAGCTCTCTCACTAGACACTCTCTGAAAAGGATCCTAAAGAGAAACAGACTGCGCGGAAGAAAAAAATCAGTCTGATTCTCTAGATCACAAACGTCAAATTAATTATCTATGATCCCCTGGATGATATTTAATTACTTTTAGAACTGGCCACAGGCCACAGCCACCCACTGGCATATTGCACGCACCAACACTACATTGCCCACAATGCAACAATAGCCCTCAAAGTCGCTGCAGCGCAAACAAGCGGCTTCATTTTTTATCTGCAAAGCAGAGATCAATTTTCATTTACCCCCCTCCTCCAAAATGGCTAAACGTAAGGTGGACGCTGAGGACAGGGGGTTTCAAGCCAGGTGGGAGGTAGAGTACATGTTCACGGAGGTAAAAGGCAAACCTGTGTGTCTTCTTTGTGAAGAAAGTTTGACTGAAATGAAAGAATATAATCTAAGAAAGCGTCATCAAACTTCTCAGAAACACAGACAAAAACAAGAATATGGACATCAGATCAGAATAGCACATTTTCAGTTTATAATGCATGCACTTTCATTTATATATTTATCTTGATATTAAGAAACATATTTTGTTTGTCAAAACGATTTAATTTTTTTTGCTTGTTTGCCTGTTGAAAATCCATAATAAGCTGGAGTAAATGTCATTTCAGACAATGCATATAGATAGTTAAAAATCCAATGACAGACTACCAATGGTTTCACTTACGTGGTTATCTTTATTCTCCACCATTTGTTGATTATTTTGATGATACAAAACTCACTTGTTTGCCATCATAAAACCATCCAAACTCAATTCTTCATCATCCCTGAGAGTCATCATCCATAGAGTCAGTAACTTTTGGATCAATCTGTGTAGACAGAAATTTGTATTAGAACTCACAGTTAAACATGGAACCTAGTGCAAGATACACTGGCAACACAACGAGGGAGTGCACTCACATACAAAATCGGTTTGTCATTTTTTTCACATAGAATGGTGTTTTAAGGGTAAAATGTTTATTATTTGCATAAACTATATTTTAAAATTACTACATACTTTCATTCAATGAATGCATTCAATCCCACTATGCCGCTGTGTGCATAATTTTAAACAAGGCACGTGACACACAAAGTGAAGCTGAAACAATTATTAAAAAAAAAAAATTAAATTACTATTGGTTTAATTTAACTCAATTTAATAATGTCAGGCTGTAGTATGGTAGCCAGAACAAAACATTTTGTCTTATGATTACTGTTTGTTTATGATACTGTACAAATCAATGACCATAAATAACGTGCTCCTCTTCCACGCATAAAACAAAGTGATGGCGCATCTGTATCCGAGTATGCTGATTTCCCACTATTGCGCATTGTTGTCAATGCATACGACTGCCATTGTCTGGATGAAATTATTACATTTTTATAAAAAAAGGATTATGTTTATACAATATATTACCATTTTTGTACAATATAATTACGGAATAACATGATAGCTGGAAAATGCTTCCATAGAAGTCAGCAATGTATTTACTTGCACTTGAAAATCAAAATTTAGAAAGTAAGCACTGGTTTAAAACTAGGAGTGCAAATAAATTTTATAGGGAATTTTGTAATGCTTTGGGCTTTATACAATGTTATTCCCTCACCGAAAACATACCTGAAATCTCTCTTTGGTTCATTCATGTATCTTTGGGGGATCTTCAAGTCTCACATAAAAGCCACATTAGGACTTGCCTAAACGTTTGGTCTAACAAAACTCTGCCTGTTTCCACAAAGCTCCTTCTTGAAGCTGCAGTCTGCAGTGAAGCTTCTGCTACTCAAAGTGCAATAAGCATAACCAAGTGCAAAGTGGATAGAAATTAAAATAGTTTTCAGATGGATTTAATTTCTGTGTCAAAAAGATCTGACATAGAAATTAGGGTTTAATTATCGGTAAGGCAGAATCATCAAGATTTCTAAAAACAAAGGCATCAAATATTTTACTCTCTATATAATAAATGTATCCAATATATATATTTGCCTTTTTTAAATGAGTGACAAAAAAATACTTGAGTTTTTGTATGTTGCATTCAAAGATCATTGGGTATTTGCTTGGCCCTGAGTTTCATTGACCAGGAGGGCACTTTGGAAACTTTTAGTAACACCACTAAGTATAATTGTAGTGGGTTTTTCAAAGAAAATTGCTTTACTGTGGCAGGAAGTGCACTTTGATTGTGTATGCTATCGTAGCCAATCAGATGCATTTTACTGTAGATCTGGTTCTTCCAGCCACCAGTTAAAAAAGCTACAGGATTAAAGGATTTTTTTTAATTGTCTGATAAAAACAATTGTCAAATAAAGCAGATCATAGATAAATGCAACTAAAAGCTCCAAGAATATTTTGCAAAAACTCAAAGCAACAAATGACATCAACTGGAACTTCGTGTGTTAAATTATCAGATGCTAAATTATCATCTGATAATTTATCCACAATAATCCCTTTTTCTGATGTGATAATTTAATCCCAACTCTATGGACACAATTTGAAATTTAGATTCCCTTTCCATTATTTTATATTTAGTCCTATAAACAGGAAGTGTGTGCTTGAATACACTCCCCTGAAATAATAGTGATTAAATAGTGTTTGAAAACATCTTTTCAAAACATTTATATTTCAGACCAGAAAAGACCTGATACAGGATCTGTGAGTTGAGATGTCATAATGTTTACGTTGCTGAAACACCAGATGTTTGGTGCAATTGCCTGGCTTTTATTTTAATTGCCCAGAAGGGCACTTTGGAAACTTTTAGTAACACCACTAAGTGTAATTGCAGTGGGTTTTTCAAAGAACATTGCTTTACTGTGGCAGGAAGTGCACTTTGATTGTGAATGCTGTCGTAGCCAATCAGATGCATTTGACTGTAGATCTCTATACCTCCCCCTGTTATTTAAGAATCAAGGGTCTCAATGAAGGCAGTGTCAGCATGTTTCTATTATGGGCTTCACTGTTTCTTCTTCACCGAGGGCGTAAGTACCATCAGTTAAGTAACTGAATGATATAAAATTTCTTACGTCCATTAAATATTTTCATGTTTTTCTTTATTGTTTTCATGTATTTTTTTAATGATACAGATTGTTTGGTCCCAGTGGTCACGGTTCAACTTGGTGAACCTGTGACTTTGTCTTGTGCTTTTTCGAAGAGACTTCAGAGCACATGGCTTCATTGGTACAAACAGAGTGCGGGAGACACTCTAAAATTTATTGTGATGCAACAGAAAAGCATAGACCCAAAATACGATCCAAATTTACCTAATTCAAGAATAAAAGCAACAAATGATGATAAATTCAGCAATCTAACGATTATGAAGACAGTTCTGCAAGATGAAGGAATGTATCACTGTGCTCAACTGGACTGGACTAAATCTATTTGGAGTGCAACTTACTTGTCTGTGAAAGGTAAGCATGTGGTCTCCTCATTTAAATGTTTTGTAATAAACACAAGTTTTTTATATACAAAAACTCATAGCCACACTGGGCACAAAGTGAAAGATGCCAAGATGCCTCTTTACTACTTTACCCATATGACCAATTCATTTTATGAGTTTCACAAAATGAATTTGAATTTGTGAGTAAAATGTTTATAAATGATTAATGAGTCTTACACATTTTTCTTTTTAATAACAAACTCTGCCTTGCATACAAAATAAAATTATTTTAAAATATGTCAACCTATCCACACAGTGATTATCTAAACAAAAATATATATTTCAGAATTTCCTAAATGCACAAAAATTATGCGCAAAAACGTTATTAATTGCAGGGTCTAATATGTCATGTTTAAAATAAACAGCAACAACATAAATGAATTTGTTGTAGATGAAAATTAAATAAATTATATGGTTGTAGACAAAGTTAACTTCTATATTCTTCAATATTTGTCCATGATGCCTTAGAAAAGTTTATGCTTAGTTCTTGAATAATGATGAAATATATTTGAGTTCTACCGATAGTTATACTAATTTGACAAATTTATGAAGTGATTTAAGAAATAGGTAACTTATTTCTTTGTATTTGTTCCCTTTATTTTTTTTTTTGTCGAGAGTTCAATCTATGCTCTTTAATTTCTTCATAGGAAAATCTTCAAACACAGTGAGCTACAGTGTTCTTCAGAACCCAGTTTCTGATCCGGTCCATCCAGCAGATTCAGAGACTCTGCAGTGTTCAGTCCTCTCTGAGTCTGAGGACAAAGCCTGTTCAGGAGAACTCAGTGTGTTCTGGTTTAGAACTGGATCAGAACAGTCACATCCAAATATCATCTACACTCATGACAAAGGACTGCATAATTGTGAGAACACGTTGACATCAAATGCTCAGAAAAAATGTAGTTACAGATTTTCTAAAAACTTAAACTCCTCTGATACATTGTACTGTGCTGTGGCAACATGTGGAGAGATATTATTTGGAAAAGAAACTAAACCAACAGCAGGTATGATTTTTGTACATAAAGTCTGATTCTTTAAGCTATGCAAATGCCACTTCTTTAAAGACAGTGACATCTTCTTTCCCACTTGTTTTTCAGATCAATCACCAAGTTCTGAAGTTAATGTGCTGATGATCGTAATAATCTGCTTGGCCATTTCCTTGACTATAAATATTGTTTTTATTTGTCACCGAACTCAAATGTCACCATGTAGAAACTTTAAAGGTAAGCTTTATTTGCTGTATTACTATTTTTGTGCTACAACATAAATTGTTAAAAAAACAAAAACACATATAAATGAAATGCTTTTGAAATAAAACACTATAAATAAAAGTGTACCTTTTTGTTAAAATTTATTTCAACAGCAAAACACAATGAGAATCAACCAGAAAATTTTGTAAGTGCATATTTTCAAATAACTAATATTTGTATATAATGCTTTATGTTAGTGTTGACTAAAAGTTTAATGAATTTTATTCTTTCCACTCAGACTAAAGATGAACAAGATATGAACTACGCTGCCTTACATTTTGATGATAGAAAAACTTCAAGAGGAAAGATAAAAAGACAACCGAAAACTGAAGAAAGCGTGTATTCACAGGTCAAATCTGAATTTGCAGATGCTCAGTATTGATAACAACAAAATGTTGTAGATTCAAATCGGTCCACAGCAAGATTTGAGAAATAAATTGAGAGACATCATAATTTACTAATGCATCATCTTCTTTTAACAACTTAAAATCAGAGAAACTTAAACTTCCCCGATTGTGTTTCTTTTATTCTGAGGTTTGGCAACAGTTTTATGTATAAATCTTTGCACTCTAAATATCTGCACACTTCTTGAAAACTGTAAAACTCCTTCCTTTAAATTAAAGCTAAAGTCCTATTTGTCGCTATTGAATAAAAATTGGAAAATCATAAAGTGTAGTTTTTTTTGATGCTGTCCTTTTGTTACTGCAATGTAATAGTTTTTGCCTGCTTCTTGTTTTATTCTCCTACACTAAGAACTTTGAATTACCTTATTGCTGAAATTGTGCAATACAATTAAAATGATTTTGCCTTTCCTTCTGGATCCTTTGATAAGTGTATAAATCCTCCATAATCCTCCATCTCTGCCATAAGCATATTTAGCAGAGGTTAGCACTCCTCCTGGCTCTGATTGGTTGTTTTTTTATTTTTTATTTTTTTTAAATAGTAAAAGTTCAAATTTTCGTCTTGCCCCCTTCATGGTGTGTCCTGGATTACTGGCGCCTTAGCATTTGCCTATATATCCTTTGCCATTGGCTGGTCCTGTGTCAAAGGAACTCATAGCTAAATTGGGTTGTGCTTTACTTGTGTGCCACCACAGTATCTCACATCATATGTATTAAATCAGTGAATAAATAAAATTTATATATTTTTAGAACTCAATAATTTCAATAAGCCAGACAAAAGTCTGCACACTTTCTCAGTTCTAGCTATCTGTTGATTGTCAATAGTAGAAATGCATTGCAGAGAAATATAATTATAAATTATAAATATATATATTATTATGAATATATATAAATACCCCTCAAAGTGAAACTTTGAGGGGTATTTTCTCACTCATCTTGATGGCAGGGTGCCAACATTCAAATGGCCTTACCCATCCATCCATCCATCCATCCATCCA